TTAAAAAAAAAAAAATTTAAACGGGGAATAAACCCTTCCCCGCCCCGCCTTAACGGGGCGGGGACGGGGAATGAATTTCTTAACGGAGTTTCACTTGCCTCAACCAATCTTACACTTGCATCTCCTCTTTCGTCTTTCTTTATATTGTATTTGATTTCAGAAATACTAACTTTATTATTGCTATATGAAAGGTTTTTAATTGAAGAACGAAATGGCTTTTATCGAAGTAACGAAAGGAATAGTTGGACAAGCAGATCTCGATGACACAACCTGCCCAAATATTCATTAAATTGTGTCATGACGATAATGGAAAGTTGACTCGGCTCAAATTTTTTGACATCACTCTTAGAAAAATAAAATATAACTTCATAAAGTTGAACATGCGAAAATCAATATGACAATTTAGTAGAGATTTAAACAATTTCCATCATTAGGACTTACTATCCAATATATTTAAATAATGACTGATCAACAATTTACATGTACTAGTAAAACCTTAGAGCAAAAAACCACTTAAAAGTACTCTTGGTACGAAGTCAATAAGGTTTTAAACGTCTTTTTTCTCTACAAACCACCTTACCAAACAAGATAGACTCATTGAGACTTTTTTCGAGGAAAAAAAAAATTTTTAAATGCATATCTTCATTCTGTGAGCTTCTTGAAGTGATTGTTATCCATTTGGATTGTTGTTTCAAATTAACGGCCAAACACCATGAATCTTAGAACACATATCATGTGTCTTAATTTCAAGACAAATAATTGTTACCTGCCATTTAATTAGTGGGATTTAATTCTTAACTTAGTTTTGCTGCAGCCTGCTGTTATCGGACAAGTCATTTAAGACATTTTGGAGATATTAAGGTTGTTGAATGCCTATGCCTAAATTTTATTAAGTAAAATAATTTCATCTCAAAAAGTTAACGTAGCTTAGACGAATAACGCAAACTCTGATGTGTTGCTTATGATTTTTCATTTTAATGATGTGAAATTTTTAATATGCCTCCACAAGGTGATGTCTTGTTTTACAATACAAGTCACGAATATTTGACTGGTCGTTTAAGTTTTAAACGGATTGAATATGGATTGTTCGATTTTATTGTCTCTGATACCATACTTACATGAGTAAGCCAAAACCTTATCTGTGAATGATTATTATTATTTTTATATTGAAATGATCAAAGTGATATTTTACGACAAGTCCGTACAAATCATTAAAATCCAATAATCTAAGACTTTTTGAAGATACTTAGGTTTTTCGTCTGCTCATACCTAAATTCTAGTCAATAAATTAGATATAAGTATCGATCGATTCCAATTTTTCACCACCAGAAAACTGCTGTTTTCCAGTGTTACAGCTTGACTGACTGCATGAACATATATATGGTGTGAATGGCTATATATGGTTGGATTAATTATGTTCACAAGCATTATTAGGAATATTTCTATTTTTAGGGCTTTGATTTTAAGAAGATGTCTTGTCATGATCAATTGACTATATATGGAAGAATTTAAATTAATAAGGAAAAATACTAAGACAGCTCGATTGATTTCGAGTTCAAAGCCACCTTAAGTTCGGCTTGATTTTATATTAGCAGTGTTGATGTCTTCATCAACAAAATTGAGAGCATTTCCAATACATTCTATGAATTGGAGTGTATGCTATAGATAAATAGAAGGAATTCTAGTCCATGTGACATTGATGTCTAATTATAGACGTTCAAGTTTAAATTTCATCTCCAGTAAATTCTATCTATAACTCAAATTTATATGACAATAGAGAGAAAAAAATATATATATAGGATAGAGAAAGTTTAATTATCGCAAACTCGCTCTGTCTAACAAAATTTTTGATCCAAACGAGCATTTTCACAATTTTATTTTTTTTATCTTGCTACTTTAGCTAGAGAGAGTCCCCCTTAGATTGCATTTGAGAAGAATTTTTATAGACATTAACTATTTTTCCTTATATGTAATTTTTATCTTTTTTGTACAGTTCGAATTAACACTGGAAATGCTTTAATATTGTCATCAGTTATCATTAAATATATTTTTTATTGTCAGAAGTTACTCGCAAAGAAATTCCCTTGAGAGCAGTCCCTTGTATTTAGATTGGTAGATGATCACCATGTGTAAAAATTACGAGCAAATTACACCCTACCCTGTTTTTAAAGATCACTATTCTAAAATCAGAAATGAAGTTTAATTACTCACAAATCAGGTAATATTTTAATTATTTATATTAATAATAATATTATAAAATCTACCCACCCCACCCCCACATTCTACACCCACGACACCTACTGCAAAAGCCCTAACCTCATTTCAATATTTTCTCTCCCTTCACTTTTCGCCATTATCCCTTCTCTCTTTATTCCC